CTTGCGAAGCCGTCACCACTAAGAAGAACTGTCTCCTTAGGGGCAGGTGTTCCCCAGATGGATGCGCTGCCTGGCGCGGCCCCCGCCCCCCCCGCGAGTTTGGCGGGCGATCCGCTGGCGCTCGTCGGCCGGGGGGGCCTGGGCGAGCCGGCCTGGGATCGGAACGCGGCGGCGGCGGGTTCTGCCAGGGCCGCGCCGATGCAATGCTATGCCGAAGAGTAGCTGTTCCAGAAAGGCAGTCAATCCGGGGTCTGGACTCTGGGCCGCTGGGGGTGCGACCGCGCAGCGGGCCGCTCGGTACGCCCCGGCGGACAGGGTTCGCCACTCAGCGAAAAAGTCTTCGCCACGCAGCGCGACTGGTGGGCCGGGCCAGGAAGGTTGTTTTCCACCGCGATAACTCGCGCAGCCGTGGAACAGCGCCAATGAGAATTTCAGCCGAGCCGCCAGCCCCGAGGCGAGGGGCGCGGAGGTGCTTCTGGGCAAGGCCATGGCCGCGTTAGTCAAGGAAATCCAGGTTGGGCGGCATCGGGCAGGAGTCGATGCGATGCGCGAGGGCCTTCGATTTTCCTCCAGTTCGAAGCTTGGAAGGCCCCTGTCATTCGGAAATCGGAGCAGCGCGCCCCCTTGATCCTTCGCCTTCCAACTCCCGGTCGGGCCCCCCCGCCCCCGTTCCTTCGGATACGCGCGGCGCGACGAGGTACCGCGCCCCGATCGCCAGGTTCCCCCGAGCCCCAGGTCCCCCCGACGCGGTCCCCATCCGCCCAGGAGGGCATTGCGGGCCAGATCCGCGGACCGGCGGGGCGCTTCTCCTTCTCCTCTTCCCAGTCACTCTCCGTTTCTGTCTCCTCTGCCAAATCTGTCAGGAATGAATGCGCCTCCTGGGGCCCCCGCAGCTTTGAATCCAGAGTCGACGCGGGCCGCGTAAGGGAGGCCGAGAGAAGGGCCCGACAGCTGGATTTGGCAAGTGCGCGCGCCAGGAGAGACGTCGACCGTGATGATGCCTCTAGACGTCTTAGCGAAGAATAGACTCGTTGCCGCGAGGCTCGCCATGAATTCAAACCTGCCAATTCTGGTCGAGAGCCAGACTCGCCACGGTTCAGGGCGCGCGTCTGAGATCGCCGCGGATTAGGAACGTTCCGGGCAGAGGGATTCCAACGGGGCCCGAGACAGATCCAGGGGCCCAGACCGTGGTGGGGACTCCAGTGGGCCCCGGGGAGTTCGACCCATGTTCTTCTCAGAAGGACACGGGTCGAACTTCCCGGAAGGCTATCGGGTGGACCGCGCAGTCGCGGGGGCGGGTCGCGGGCGGACCTTGGGCGGGTCGCCAGGCGCTTCGCGGACGGGCCTCGAGGCGGCTATCGGGCGGGCCGCAGAAGCCCGCAGCAGACGCGGGCACAGGGTCGGCGCAAGACCGCTCAGCCGTTCATTCTGGCCAAGAACAGTCAAACCAAGTTACCTCAAAACTTTCAAGCCACTCTGTTGATGATGCTGCCTCTATCCATCCTTCCGGACCTTTGACGAGCCCCAGACTTAACGGTATTTTCTGTCGTTGAACCCCGGATGTTATGAGGACAAATATTGGAGGCTTCGCGTTGCGCACAATCGTTGTATTATCTAGTCCACACGGCAGCTCCGTAAGCTATGGGTCGACGTGCGCGCGGCGATGCTCTGGCGTGTGGCCGACGTAAATCCGACGCGATGTCGACGCAATCTGACGTGAACCCGACGTAAATCCGACGCGGATCTGACGTAAATCGGATCCCAAGTTGCCTCGCGAGGCCTCCAGGGCTTTCCTCGTAAAGGATGGCGCGCGGCTCGAGTTCGGAGGCGGCAGTGCCGAGATCGAGATAATTCTTGGAGAGGGGGCCGAGAAATAGCCCTTATTCCCATATTTTCCATTGCCGCTTCTTGCGGAGGCGAAGTCTCGGAGAGAATGCCGTTCCCGCCCAAGTCTAAGGAATTCCTGGAGTCGGACGCCCTCGAAACATCCACTCTCCAGAGCGCGGGTGCCGCGCGTGTTTGGGGACCCGAGGAAGGCCGAAACCTTCGTGCCTGCGTTGCTGCCTGGGCGGCGCCCTTTCGGATGGTCCGACGGTGGAAGCCCCGAAAGAGCACTCTCAGCCGCCCGAGAGCTCAAAGGCGCTGGTGTGTGAGGGGCAACGAACAGGAAGATGCGGGGGCGCCTCGGGTCTACTCCCTTGCTATGCCGCTGGCTCCAGGGCTGGACCGGCGAGTCGGAGATCTGAGCCATGCGCGCTGCCAGCAAGGCTCTACCTCTTTCGTCCCAAGGGCCGTGTCTTCGCGGAGCCCTGCGAGGGCTGGAGCCAGCCTCCGGGATCCCCCACCGAGCGTATATATATATATATATATATATATATATATATTTATATTTATATATATATATATATATACTGAGTGCGGTCGGGGCGACGCTCCCGTGGTCTGCCATCGTAGGGCCGTTTCCTTCTGTGAGTCCTCGCGTGATTTGAGGTCTAAGCTGGAACCCTTCGGGATGGTGCGAAGAGGCCCAGAGGGACCCGATTCGATGGTGCTGATAGAGGTCGACGACTAGTGCGTGGCCCACCATCCATCGATCTCGTCGAAAGAGTTGCAGGTGTATCGGGAACGTTCAAGTTCGGCACGATGCAACCCCTGGACACCGTAGGGGCACACTACATGGGTCGACGTCTCTGTCGTTCCCTGACCGAATCCTCGTGGACCAGGAAAAATAGATTCTGGAACAAGTGCATAGGTTTCCCCTTTCCCAGTCTCGGCGGTCTAGTTTCGAGACCCCCTGTCCGTGGCCTGGGGAAAGAAATCTCAGATGTTTGGCCCCTGGCTGCCGCGTAAACTGGGTGGGCAGAGAGCCCCGGGCCGAGGCTGCTCGGACCGTTTCTCTGCTCGTGAGTAAGGTGCACGACCCCACCGTCGAAAGAGGCCGTCATTTTCAAGATGCTGGACAGCTTGAGACACATCGCTGGGGTTCCGATCGTCGTCTGGAAATTTACGCCGGACAACCTCGTTTTTGCTTCCGCCTCCGACTGCGATGCGGCGGCATCGCCGATGAGACCCGGGAAAAGCCACAGCATGGGTCGCAGGGGTCTTTGGGGCGTCTTCGATGCACCCTAAACTCGTTGGACGCTGCCGCGGGTGGGTTTTCGCTGCGACAGAGTTGCTCCCCTAGCCTGGCGGTCGTGCCGCACGAAGGGACAGGTGCCCTCCACGCTGGTCTGCGAGGCGCAGTCGCTTCGTGCGCCGCGCACGCGGGAGCCGAGTCGCGGCACCTGCTGTTCCAGGACGTTCTTCGGGATGTACTCCACTGTCAGATTTGTGGAGGACGATCAATGGAGAGGAAGCATGTTGCCAAATACTTTCCAGATGTCTGAAACATGTCTTAAACATGTTCTGAACATGTTTAAAACATGTTTAGAAACATCACATGATAGGACTGTTAGGGTGTGGATTGTCGTGGCATCCACAATGTTAGATGGCTCCTGGCGGTGTCACATCGGGCCGTTTGCTTCCCTCCTTCGGAAAGACTGCTCCCTGGACAGAACCCCCTCTGGAGATGTCAGCGCGGTTGATGCCGAGGAAACCTCCAGGAGCAAGAACGACCGAAGAGCGGCCATCGATCCATCGGCTTGTCGAGACTCCTCCGTAGTATAGGCGAAGGTGTGCGCTGGGTGCCTCATCCGTTGATGCTTGTGGACGTGATGATAGAAGCCGACCTTGCCAGATCCAACGCTGCCCATTTTCAGTTGCTCCGAACAGGTCTCCTTCAGATCGTTTCGGAGACCACCCACTTGAAGGCTAGGCGTCAAGACCATGGGAAAAAGGGGCGGTCTCGTGCCGCATCCGTTCGGCATTTATCCTCTGGGTCGTCTCACCCTCCTACCTCACCTGGAGAGCCTGCCGACTGACGAGGTCAGTTCTTTCTCTTGACGTGCCCTTCCACGCTGTTCCGCTATCTAGTCACCTATGCATCTGTTCACAATGATCGCATGCTGACAAGAGCCAGCCAAGTTTTGTATGTTCGAGCGCCTGAAGTTTGCAGTCTCGGGTGTTGCCCTTGGTATCACATTATAGTGAGGAGTGCCAAGCTCACCAACAGTTGGGCGGGCTGTGAAGTCCAATGTCGTCTCACCTTTTTCCTTCGATGCAATCCCGAACTCCTGTATGCATCGTGTGCTCCAGTTATGTGCATTTCCAAGGGCTCCCACGAGGGCGCGAAGTTATTCGCGCTTCGCGGTCCTCGTTCCTTCTCCCCCTCCTCCTCGTCCTCCTTTTCTCCCTTTGGGGGGGCGGCGCGAGAGCGCGAAGTTATTCGCGCTTCGCGGAGCGCGAAGCGCGAAGTTGGGAGCCCTAATCTTTCGGCACCCAGTTTGGCTTGAGATCAGTTGCGTGTTCTGCGTGATGAAGACACATGGTCCCTCCGTCCTTTAGGGTATCGTCTGGCGTGTTTCGCGCGTCAACATCGCTGAAACACTATTACTAGAGCCCTATGACCCAATCTTTCTGCGGCACTTTTCGAGCCAGATCGATCTTGGTCCCGGGGCCTGCAGGAATAGCAACTCCCAGATCTCAGGGGAGGGCGAGGACGAGTCGGGCGTGGTCAGGACGAGGCTGAAACCGTTCCAGAGCGTTCCAGCACGCTCTCAGAGCGTTCCGAAACGTTCTGAGAAGGCCGCGGCGCCCGTTACATCCTCCAGAGAGCCGCCAGATCTCAGAGATCGTCGATTTATCCCCCTCCGGTTTTATCCTCGTCCTGGTTTCGTCTTGACGAGGACGATCAGGAGGAGCAGCCCCAGAGATCCGACCTCTCGATTTTTTCGAGACACGGGCCTTTGATCTCCCGACCACTTCCCCGGGACCGGTTTTTCATCCCGAGTCGTTTCTTGACGGTCCCGAGGCCTGGCGAGGGCCCCGAGGGGCCGAACACGAGGAGAAACCTCCGTCTCGATTTTTTCGAGACGCCCGCTGTCTGGGGCCAGCGGCGGCAG